CCAATTCGCTGTAAGTGGGTGATACCCATTTGGTTCGTGTTACCTTTCGGGTGAATGGGATGATGATATGGTTGTAGACTGGTGCGAGTATCATAATGAACAGAACAGGAAACAGGAAGAGAAGCTGGTGGAACTGTTAAGGAGCCAATTTTAGTGTTCGTGGTGGCTGCTTGTTGGACAGAAAAAGTGGATAGCTGAGCAAGGCAGCAGTTGAGCATAATGGTAGACATGAAGATCGAAGGATCTTAAGTACTGTCTTCACATCTTCTACTTGGCTAACAGAGCAATCAAGAAGTGGGTGGGCAGGCTTGTTGATCACTGCTCTATTAAGGAACTTAAGGTTTCCACTTACAGGGTGATTTTCTGCATTTTCTTTGGCATGACCCTCTTCCCCTTCACTGCTTTCAGTTCTATAAGATGAGAAAGTGCTCATGCTCACAGCATCACTGAGACCCCTAGAATCACATTTGTTGTAATTGCAGCAGCCATAACCTGTTGGTAACAAAGCAATGAAAGATATCTTTTCAGCTAAGAGTCGGCTACGTAGTTTTTTTAGTTAGGCTAGTGCTATATCTTGGCTATGGTTGTGATAGGGCTTCTTGTGGGAATTTTGGTCCTGTAAAAAGTAGAGCCGAGGAGGGAGATTGGGATGGAGATCAATATTGTTGCAGTGGAGATCCCAAATCCCCACTGCTATCCTTTGTTGTCTTCAATCCACACCACAAAAGTCACTGCAAGTAGTGCTCCACAGGAGAGGCAGAACACATAGTAATTGAAGAAGGTTGACCTCTGCTTTCTTCCATTTGGGTATTCCCATCAAATTGCTCTGCTCCATGTGGGGGAAGTGAACCTTTTATCCCTCCAACACCTAATGCCACTACATAGAGTCCTACAACAACATTGCTGCGTTCCCATGGTTGACTTCCTGGCAAGGAGTGTTTCTGTTGGCTGACATGCATGTTTCTGGATTCAGTGAAGGTATGTGAGCTTGCACTGTGAGTGTTAACAGACCCTGTTCCAAATTTTTCATGGGCATGTGAAATAAGATCTTTCACTTTCATAGCTGTGATAACCTGTTTAATACAGTAAATTTTATAGGCAGGTTCTAGTTTGTATGACTATGAAATGGGGCAAGAGTGTTGGACAGATACCTGTGAGGGTATTTTTACCACTTCAACTGATTGTTAAACTGCCGAAAGTACCTATATGTTTGGTTTCGTACATTTTGAAGTTTGACTCTTAAGGATTCAGATCTAGTACGTGATTTTCATTATCTTTGATTGCATTGGACTGTTAGGTTTTGCTAATTGTGCTCTTTTACATCCCTGAAGTTGGAACTATCTGTCTCATGACTATACAATAGGTTAATTGTATTTTAATATACTGCATGGATCAGAATTGTCAATTACACCAGCCAAACATCATACAAGAGCAATGGTAGTACCGCCTCTGGGACCTACTTTCATGAAGTGTGATTGGACCAAAGCAGTACGAGGCCCATGAATGCTTATTTGTTTTGTCTCTTTCTCTCAGTCTCAGATATTTTTATTGGTGAATATGGCTGTCCCCATGAGTGACAGAGTCATTTCTTTACACAAAATGTGATATTATGTTTGTAGTAGGTAAATTTTTTTTTTTAATTTTTTTTCAGGTGGAAGTGCTTTTTCATGCTAGGAACTCTTAGCAGTACACTTCACATGCCTCTGTGTGAGAGTCCCTGTATAGTTAATCCTGCTAGAAATTACCCTGGCGGTTCTACAAAATGAGTCATATTCACCTATTGGCTTCTGCCTATTTAACAGTTATCTAGAAAAGGGACCTAACAGAGCCTAGTTGGTTCTTGAATGCGAAGCTTGTGGCTGTAGTCACTGATGGCCACGATTCAATATGAAGATGCTCTTTGTGCATCTTGTAATGGTTTTCACTGACTGCCATCTTGCCACTTGAAAAATGGGGGTTTTATCTTGAGGTTTCAGGTTTAGCGATACCGGGGACTATGGTAAATGGTAGCATGCAGATAACTAGATAACGTCACGGAGCTGCAACTAGAACTTGTGGACCTTTTTAATCAAGTAAATAAAACAAAATGGAATGAGAACTTAATCTTTAAAGTCAGCTTACCATAACTTCGATTGTAGCACTTATCAGATAGATGCAGTATGTGGTGAAGAAAGCATCTGCTAGGAAGCCACCAAGGAGAGCAAGGTGGAAGGCTGTTCCCACGAAATTGGTCACAATGTCGGCAGAACTGGATGGCAAAAAATGCATGAATTTCGACAGATAAAGCACAAGTTTGCTTGCATTGGCCAGGTATGCTAAGTTCTCCAATATCTCAACCACTAAAGGGTGACAGTGAAACAACAGCAGATTAGTCTTTTAATGTTTTGTTTGGTTATCAATTAATAAATATTGTAATGAGGCCTTGCTTATTAATAAAGGTCTTCTACAACGCTTAAAGATTTTAGACAAACAAGTTTTAGTCCGGTGGTTAGTGGAATAAATGTGAAGAATGTGCCTACGGTGATAAAAGTTTCACTAACCCAAGACGAAAGAGGCAGCCAGCATGCCGCCATGACGGCCTTTAAAGGCTGGTCTGTTTCTCCAGTCAACATAGCCTTCCCATTTGTCTAACTCCTCATCCTACAATAAAAATCAAAGGAAATTTATAAAAACAAATTGTAAATATGAGGAAACCAAGACCCAAAACAAGAAATGAAATGAAGAAGAATAAGGCAGGAGTTCCACCATCTCTTTGTTTGGGTTTTGATTATAGGACACTTGATCAGAAACTTTTCCAACTTAAGAGGGAGTGATGGTTGGTGTCATATTTATATACGTGGAGGATGGCAGTCTCCAACTGGAATGGAAAAGTCTAGACTGGATGAAAATGACTATACATGCTCATCGACCACTTTTCCCTAACAATGGTGGTGTAATTTGTCCTATCCCAATCTGTACGTGAGTGCATGCATACACCTCTGTCTGGTTCTCTCTCTCTCTCTCTCTCTCTCTCAGAGACACACACACACACACACATCCTACATACCCATGATGTTCTCTCTTCCCCCGGTGTATGTGTGTGTGGGAGAGAGATATACGCTTTTATACTAATCCTAGATTCACTTCTTCAGAACAATATGTGTTGGAATTTAGAAATATGACCAAGAAAATATGACTCAAATCCTCTTGTCAATGTAAGTATATGTTTTCTCACCTTGTAATTAACTTAAGTATCCTTTTCTGAGTTTGGGTTGGGGTACTGGGACTGGCAGTGCATTTTACCCAAAAATAACAGTTCGAAGAAAAATTGTATTTGTTTATAGTCTTGTAAACAGATGGAAGAGTTTGATGTTTTTAAAAGGTGGAAAGACTTGCGAAAGGGGCATGGAATTTGAGGTATTGATTGGCTGAACAGAAGGTGTGATGTGATAACTGTTCCACATATATGCAGCATCAGGGAATTGAGATTACATGTTGAGATGAGATTTCATGTGTCTTAAAATGAGGTCATGATAACTGTGTCAAGTACTTGTAGGTAAAGTTAAAGTTTAGTTTCTTAGATGCAAACACTACACCTGTCCTGATACTTACTCCGACAAACACTCACTATGTTGTGGTGAGACCACTGTGTCTTTTATCTAATCTCCATATATCCAACTTTGTCTTCTTGCCCTGTCTTATCTATCTAATTCTGATCTTATGAAATTTTTAATGGGCACTGGATCAGTAAATCAAGGCCATTTATCATGACTATGGCTCCAATTCAAGTGATATCTGATAAAAAAAAAGAAGTGATATCTGTCATTTATTATGTCCATAGGGATCTTTATCGATCCACATATGTTTCCTCTTCCTGCTGCTGGAGTTATCTGACTTAATGCCAATTCATGATGTGGTGATCTATGGTTCCTCTGTGTGGCATGTACAGTTTTTATCTCTTGATCCTTCAAATGGGTGGATATAATTAGCCCAAAAAATTGTGGGGTTCATGATCTTACAGATCTCCAAATTGGATTCCAGGAGTCCCTTCATGATCGGTCCTGCCCATTTAGCATTTAGTTCCATGTATTGCCTTTATGTTGTAGTACATTTTACACACCGTTTCTTTTTTTTTTTTTTTTTTTTGGGGGGGGGGGGGGGTTGAACGGGGTTCGTTGGGGTAATAAAAATGAACAGTTCCAGCCATACCCAGCTTTTTACTAGGATGAGAAAAATTGTAAAAGCTACCAGTTTGTTTCTTTGTCTTTGATTAAAATTTGAGGATGAAACTGGGGAGAAAAGAATTGTCCTTTTCATTGTGTGGTGGAATAAAAATAATGAGAATCTTAATCTATCTTTTTTGGATAGACAGGAATATTATTAAGATTAATGATGCATTGGGTAGTTGGTGGCTGCTGTTCTTGGGAGATGAATGGAATCAATCTTGAATTTTCCTTGTCCTTGCAGTTGATATCCAAAACTTCTTCAAATTCATAGGTTTTCTCAGTCAATAAAAAGATTCTTATTCTCTGATCTTTAGAAAGTAGTAGTCTTGTTTTGCCTCATGTAAGGAAGAATAGAATAATTCTAATGATATTCTATGCATTTGTGTGTATTCTTTTTAGATTGTCTAGAGTTTCTTTTTGAGACATGGTTCCACCAGGATTTAATATATTTGTGACTGCCAAGGGCTTTTAAATAAGTTATGAATTTTTGAATCATGTGCAAGGTTCAATGATTTTTACAAGTTCTTTGTGTTAGATCATCCAACTCAAAACCGATTGACAATGAGTGGAGAAACCCCAAATATTTGATGTTAGATAAAACTCTCCTTGCATTGTAAACCATGCAATTCATCTTATTTTCATATGCTTGCTAGTTTAAATAAAGAGCACAACAGAGGCCTTATGTGATGAAGACCTGGACTAATGTCCACTTTAGACGTAGGTATAGATAAAAAAGAAGAAGCCCACTTTAAACCTAGAGTCCACTGACCACCTTTAGGTGCTTCGTAAGTCCATTGGGTGAAATAAAAGAAGTATTTAACTTACTATTGCATATTTGCAAAGGTAAGAGCTTGCTCTGTCAGCAAAAATTTACAATGTTTGATTACTCCAGATCATTTCAGGGTTCACTTCCTCTTCATACAAAACTGGGTGAACAGAAAATGACTGTTAGCTTAGCTCCTCTCCCTTTCTAGCATGCATTAGTCAGTATCCTCATTAAAAGCAGAATAATTTTAATAATTTTTATTTTTTGGTTAGTAAATTGATCATTTGCTTGAATAATTTTTTTATTGACTACAATGGATATTGATTATTCGAGGACTGACTCGTAGTTTTTCAAAACCAGTTTTATTTGACATTGGAGAGAATTCTAACCTTTGGTGATGTGCTACATCGTACAGGAGTGCACATGCAACAAACTGGGCACTTTGGGTTTCAGATTTGATGGTCCAAAATCATGTAGTGGTGTTGGACACTACATAATGCTTGCATCCATGCCGAAGGTGCTATAAGGCTTCTTTGAAGGGCCAGGTCGGTCCAGGTTGAGTATGCATCCCTAACTCTTTTAAGTCTCATTTCATGGTAACTTATCACCACCCACCTTACTTTTAGCCACATAAAGATAAAGTGACCTTGATAGAATATGCTCTTGTGCTATGGACGCAGCAAGTCCAATTCTCTTGTTGTATGCCTGTGCTAGTGGAACCCAATCTGAGCATGCCGGGTCCAAGGTAGGAAGATTCCAATGCTGATTTGAAGGCTAGAGACCCAATCTGTTTCCAAGTTTGGAAGATTCCTCATTCCCCTGTTGAAATGAAGGCCCCTGTTAGGGGGTTTACCTTCTGGAATGGACTCCTATTATGTACTGTTCATTTCGAGGTGGACCCTACCAAAAATGTTGGTTGGTTTAGAGTTGAAGAGGGCCTCTACATTGGAAGCAAAGCATGGAACATTCTAGTAGTTGTGAAAAAAAACTAAAAATTGTCATTGGATGGGTTCTGAAATGGGGAAGATCACTCTAACAGGAGCTACTAGATTGATGTTTTATACAGTGAGTTTCAAGATATATTTACGAAGTGGGCATCCACTAAACTTTTGTAATTAGAGTCTAGAGATCGTCAAATGTAGAGAATCTTATGCGAGCATGCTGAGAGATTGGACTCGAATGATGCTTAAATCAGAGTGAAATAACTTTCCCGTTGAATCAAATCTCGCCCTCAATCACAGGTTCATGTAATGTCAGATGAAAAATTTGTCAGCGTAGCTTCAAAGTTACCCTGTAACATCAGTCTAGGAAGATCTCTTGCAACTTGCAAGGCAAATTGGCAAATCATAGAAATAGTACAGACCAATCTCCCTCAGAATTGTTGGGTTGAAGAAGATGTGGGCAAAGCATGTGATTGGTCGGTGGGAAAAAAAAAAAATCGTCCACAGAGAATGGTAGTCATGGGACCAAATATGCACCATGTTACTGCAGAAAGAGGGCACCACAGTTGCACCATCCCCAAATCCTGAGGTGGCTAAGCACATTTCCAAGGGACGGATGAGAATTGCTTCTCTCTTAGTGCCCATTACCCTGACATAGGGCGGTTCTGAATCCAAGCCTGCCCATTCAATAGGTTGCTATGATTTTTTTTTCTTCAAAGTTTAGAGTGTTGATATGATTTTTTTTTTACGCGCATTTCAACTAATTTACTTTTTAGTTCAATTAAAGACAGACTATTCACATCCAAACTAGGGTATTCATGGCCTGCCTCGAAGGGAACAACTCGTTTTTGTTATCACCTGTTAGAATAATTTGGATGAAGAGATTCTGGGGGTATTGCTTAAATGTTCAAAGTTTGATTCTCGCAAGGGAGACCTAGTTTGCTTGTTGTGCATTGTATATGGATGAATATGTAAATGTGGAGATTATAGTTACAATGCCAAATAACATAGAATTGGCACAATTCCAAAGGCTTTAGGTGGTATTTCCTAAATGTCCGTAGTTAGATTCTCGCATCGGAGTTCTAGTTTGTGCGATGTATATGTTATGTGGATCTTGAGGTTACATTGTATCACAATTCCAAACAACATATAACTTCGATGAATTTCTGTTAGAAGAAAATAAAGGAAAGGGTTTGGATTTGTCCACAAAAAGGGTTGTGGAACTATACATGAATTGATGCATTGTTTTTTTGAACCATTTGTATCAATATGGTCAGCAGGTTGCTAAGAGGCCTTATTGACTTAGAGGATGGACCCTATGAGTCATGTTGCCCATTCTAAAGGGCGGTATGAGTTGCATTTTTCAATAATTTTATATGGTGCATGTGAGATAGAGGGACTGTATATATCAGAAGAATTAGCCAGATGTTCTAAGAGGTTCACACAATTTCTTCATGAAATATAAATAACTGATCATTAAATTGTTGTGTCTCTACAGGCTTGTAAGTTTCAATCATTTCCACCATGTAATTTGATCATTTCGTTTGAAAAGTGAAATCTTCCTTAGATTTTCATTCCTCATGCATTCTTAACTCTCATCTTCTAGGACTTACAGTTATAGGGTGACATATTTCTGAGACACTGTAATTTTAGGGCCGATCCCTTTAAGAAGGAGTTCGTAAAAAACATAAGATCGGACACCATGATAAAAGACTATCGCCATGGCAGTATATGCCACGAATCTTCCGGACGGTCAAAAAAATTATGTGTATGTAAAAGCCCATGAAAAAGAAATACCCAATGGTGGTCCAAACCTGCCTAACATTTCCTATCTGC